CCTACGAGGCCTCCTTCATCACACCACCTGTCGGCTTCTGGACTGAGATGTTACAACTTATCGGACTGAAGCGTAACGTCCCCGTGGACAAGCGTGCTGTTTGAATTGCTTTTAGCGAATCAGCGAAACCTGTATAGCAGAGATATTCTGTCATGATCTAACGCCATTGGATAGATTTTCTATCGCCAGAAGCCTATGAACACTGGCTGCGCTCTTACATAAATACTATACCCATTCATTCTGCGAACATCGAGATATGGCAGCTTGCGAATGATGCCCGACCTCCGCTATACCTATGCGACAAACAGCGAGGCCAAAAAAAAAGGACACCCAAGCGACAATGTACCATGGACTTTCGATTGTGATTAATATATTGCAGCATCCTTTCTAATGGCCTACGCGACACTGCTGAGACGACAATTCCAATGCGACACAGTCTTAAGAGATCTCCTATGCGACAACGCTACCATGTTCGTAGCAACGCTGGTGATGCATCTGCCGTCACGCACCAGCTTGCCTAGTGTCGTATGGTTCAGCACACTGACGGCTTTTGACGTGCCAAGGCACGGCTGAGACCACCCCTCAACGACGATCGACATTTCACATACGTGCGTTTATTGGAACAAAACACCTGTAGACTGCGGTCCATCCGCCTGGCTTTTGGGAAGTCGCCCGAACCCTAACGTGGCATCAGAGAGCACTTGTTAGGAGGCTCGGCAATACATTCCGCGCGACTCACTGCCACTGTTGCGCTACTGCTACTTCCACCAGACACAGCCCACGACCATGTCTGCCTCGACTCGCCTCGCCCAGCCCCCTTGTGCGCCACTATCAAACAGTATCAATCCACCCACACTTGTATGCAGCCGCCTGCTTCCGGTGTTGGGCCAAGGTCTCCGGCTGTTTCTGGATGCCTCGACCCTACAGGTCACTGTTGTTAGTAGGGCGCCATGCGGGATGTCTCACTTGCCTTATCATCAGGCTTCCGGTGCTACTACACGAACCCCTGCCATGAGCTCGTCAGAGAGGCTTGAATTCTTGAGGCAGAGAGTCAACGATTCGCTCGCTTTGTGGCTTGTGTACGCATCTGCGACCGTGCCACCAACGCTATAATACCGCTGCACTTATCTCGGACCTTCTACCAAGGAAAGAGAGCGTTTCAGGCCATCTTCAGCTTCACAGGTGTCGGTGCGCAGTATATACGATCGCTCTTGACGTCCCGAAACGGCCAATTGATCCCGTCGCCAATATCCCGGTCCCGCTCGTGGCGCGCTATAATCCCACGCCCACGACAGCTCCGCACGTTTGCATTGGAGCCTCTATCTACCGTCGGTAACGCACTATTCATGCTGCACTTTGTGGTTTTGGCTAGATGTCCGTACCTTGCAGGACCTTCTCCGCAATTGATAACGCATGTGCTCGTCGACCAGGATGATAAGACGGCTCCATCTTTCCCCGCATTGTCCACATCGTGAGCTGAACATGTTGGTGTATTTTCGAGAAGATGGCTGAAGCCCAAGCTCCATCTAAGATTGCGGAACCGCCATACAATGCTTGGACACTCACGCTCCAGTATCTACACCGAAATTGAACTGGACAAATTAGCAGAAAAGGGTAATATACAGATTCAGCCTACTAATCATCATGTCCACCAGATTGAACAGTATGATCTTTCCCGTCGGAAAGCATCTTTACTGTAAAACCGCAGCACTGCCTACTCCTTACTCGGCAGATAAACTCCTCAATATCGAAATGGCATGAGCGATGGTACTTATCTTCGTGAGACGCACCATATGTGCTTAACCATGGTACAGTATACATTTTTGACACGGCGCTGTCCGAGTCAGACTGCCATTCTGTGGATGGGTACCACTAAGAAGTCACAATACGCTACCACAGGCTGCTTATGGTACGCTTGCGGCTCGGAATGTTTCCATGGGTGATCTGACGTACGTCAACTATCTAGGCTCGCCAGTACTGTCATGCTATCCTCAAAGATGTGTTAACAGTAGCAGCGACAGCGGTAGTGTTGTTAGTAGGTGCAATGTCTCTAGCGTGAAGAATCTGATCGTATTCTGGTAGAGAGGCTTTACACGATATCGCAATTAGGTGGCATCAGATGATTGTTGGTAAGTTAAGAAGATTTCTGAACTCGCTTTGTTCAAAGGGCAAGTACAGTTCAAACATATGTTTCTTCACGTTCAGGAAACATATTTCATGAGGCTAGAAATAGGCTGTTTCCGGCATTACTTTAACAACTTATCCAGAAGACAAGAGAGTCAGTGGACGTGACAATAGCTTCAGTGTTTGCACACCTAATACTATACATATTGGTAACGGCACTTGTATACATGAATAGGTTTTGGCAAAACCTTCCACCTGTTCGACAACAAGTATAATGCAAGCCCCACGGTCTTGTCTCCACGAATGGACGTCACATAACTCCGTAACACCGACCCACATGTCCCGTTGCTATCTGACCATATCACCTTCGCCTAGGTTTACCAGCACTGTCTACGCTCTCTCACCAAAGACGGCAGCTAGAGCGCATGCCTAGCCGGTCCTTCTCGCCATTTCTCTATGAAGAGACGGGCCGATTGCCCTTGTTCTCGAAACTGACCCCGTGCACCATTGCCAAGATGTTGGCTGGAGGCCCAACGAGCCATATTACTTGTCGCACAGCAGATTGGGCGCCATGCATATAGAGGTCAAGTCTGAGGTAGGAGGGAATCAAAGGCTGGCGTCGAATACGTCATCGTGCGGAGAAGGCGAGACCCTGGACGGGATGGGCGGGACCGGAATTGAGCCGAAGAAATTCTGGGGTAAAGACCACCGCTTTCACGCGTCGTCGCGTCGTCTCTTGCCTGTGTAGTGTCGATCGTTCTTCAATCGCCGGGTTGTCGTTCGGGTAGACCCTTCTTTCAATTCGTATGTGTCCTTTATATGGCCCGATTCTGGACTTCGTGCTTCTTTCTTCATCTTCACTACCCGCAACTTTGCCACTCCGAGTTCTTGCCTCGACATACGGGGTGCATCATCGAAACCCATACAACTGCCCTATAGCTTCTTGCATGTCGACTGTATTGAGTGTAATACGTGGTCTCGGATCCCTGATACGTGTGATGATTTGGAGGATGAAGTGCGAACCCAATATTAGGAGTAAACAAGGTATGACGACACGACTCAGTACACGACCCCATGAAATCCGTATCTCTTGCGACTTTCTCTCTTCAAATACTTCCCCTTCTGCAGGTGTAATGGTTGTATCCTCCATCGGTATCGATGCTGCTTCTAGGATCGTTCTGTAACTCAATCGACCAAGCCATACATGCCAGCCTAGCAGCATGACGGCGGCTAGAGCGATGCTCGTCCACGAGGCTACCGCGTACGGTGATCGTGCTCTTCGACCCAATAGCTCGTAGATCTCATCCAAGCCTTGGACAACGTGATGCATCGTAAAGGGAACAAAGAGCATGACTACCGCCAGCGCGACGACTTCTAGGCACAGCATACTGAAGCGCTTGAGGAATGTTGATTCGGCCTTGTGGACATGCCAGTGTGAGAGTAGACTTAGGAAGTCATCCGTGCGCGGGTGGTTTGTTGACATTGTTAGCAGCATGGCGGTCGGTTTGGTGGTATAGCTAAAGTTTGGCAGGCGTAGTGATGATGCTCGAGGAAGAATAATGGTAAGGAAGCGGTAAAAATGTCGACGCGGCGATACCAATTCCTAGCGACAAGAGGCTCTCTTATACGAACTTCAATGAAGTAGGTCGATATTGTCTCCCGAAATCCACGTTGTTGGTTTTGTTATTGATGTTGTTACTGTCCTTGGTGAGGGCCACCCTTTCTTCGGTTGCCGATGTGTTGACGAAGCGCAGTGACGCAATCGAAGCAACACGTCTCTCTTCCTTCTCTTCTTGTCCGCAAGTTCAACTTGATGGCTGTTCCGATACGAAACTCAAATGTCTGCGCCTCCTCTCGTCGTGTCTTACGCACTAAGACGACGTCTTCTCCGAGCCCCCTAGCTCCGCGATCTGCGTACCCGAACACACCAAACTTCACAGGAATGCGCAACCCGTCTTTTGCCTTATCGCTAGCTTTCCTGGAATTTCTGCAGTTGCCAGTAAAATCGTTTTGTCGAGATTGTACGTTTGGAAAATTCGTTGCGCAGTTCTACCTCGGCTCCTCGCGTCCGTATCCTCGTAAACCCGACGTACGAAGAACCCTGCCAAGCCCCTCTTCGCACAGGCTTTACCGCTCTTCCAGTACCGGTACTACGATTCGTAGGCTGAGCTGAGTGCAACAACGATACTCGTATCCAGACGTGCTCGTACAACAACGACCGTTCCGCCTTGAGGTGTCGTGTTACAAGAAGGTGGGAAGAAGGTAGGATGGTGATGATGATGCTTACAACGACGTAGTCTGGGTCTTACGAAGTCTGCGCCCTGATCCGCACTGCGCCGCAGCAAGTAGGATTGCATTGGGTGCCTGAAGAGAGGGGCGCAGTAAGCATTAAGGGTTGCCCCGCATCTGCAGCCTTGCGACGCTAGCTTTTGACCTGAAATTGTGATTGGTGCCCGGGCAGAAAGCGTGCCTGTGGCTGGTTAGGAACTCAGATGTGGAGATTGGATTTACGATGGGAGAGGAAGGTGAGTACCTAATGAGATGAATTAGTGCACGTGATGTGATAGTTTTTAGAGGTAACGAGGCTGGGAAAGCTTCGTGACACTAGGAAGAGATGGAACGAAATGATTGGGGAAGAGTTACGAGCTTTACGACCGAAAGCCTCGATCGCATGGAAATGTTCAATCTCAAGGTGGTCACCTGTCTACACTTTCTATTCAAAAACAATCGTGAAGCCGTCCAGGCTGCATTGGCCCAGGCATATAGGCACTGGAGCCGAATGTTAAAAGAAAAGAAAACAAAACACCGACAGAATGCGCGCTAAAACCTCAAACCATCCACCCAAAATGCGCAACGTATGCTTTGTCTACAAGCGATCAAATAGGGTTTCCATGATCCCCAAAACTGACCGTCCTTGCGCGTGTCGGTTCTTGCAATCCTGCATCACCATACCCTTTACCCTCATAGTCATGTTCATTCATGACACCCAAGCTCTTCCAACTGGCCTTCTCCTTCAAATTGCTCTTGCTTGGTTTTCTGCTCAAATTACCGTTCTTGTCGGCATCGCTGTGGAGGCTTGGAGTGCTAGCTCGATGGACCGCAATGCCGATGCCCAGTCCTTGACCGTCAGACAAAGCACTGGTAGGCGTGTTCTCGTACGAAAAGTCACCCATGTTAGCTCTGCCTTTGCCTTGTCCATTGTAGTTCCCTTCGTCTCGAAGAGTAACATCACTCCCAAAAGCTGGACCAGGACTATGACTTGGCACCCTAGTCTTGCCATTTGATGGGCCTGCAGCGAAGTCGCGTGGCTGGGGCGGCGAGTCTGAGTACAGCGTATATGCGGTGTGGACTCTGTTCAAAGAAGGCGCTGGTGTATGGCCTCTGCTACGAGGTGCGCTCTTGGGCATGCCACCGGGGCTTGGTGCGCGGCTAGGATACTTTGATATGAGGCCACCAGTTTCGTTATCGCTGTCGCCGGCCAGAGATCTGTTACCCCATGAGACATCGCGGTGATGTGAGTGGCGTGGATGGCGGCTCGTGTAGTGTGCGACAACTAAGAGGATATTATCAAAGAACAGTACTAGGAAGGAAATTAGCATACAACCCTTTCTCCTTGACAGCGAATGGGGCTACTTACCACCAGCGAAGAACAGCACCACTATTGGGATTATCCAATGGCTCCCTTTGAACTTGAAACCGTTGGTTGTCTTGTCGGCAATGACAGTAGACACTCCCAGAATGATGAGCGTGAAGCCAACGACGACTCTGTTGATGATCTCGCCGAATTCGTATTTCGTCTTGTGTATCTTGTTGAACCAATACATGATGGCCAATACCAGCAATACACAGCCAGCACCAATGAAGAACTGCATTGTAGTGGTGTTGAAAACATCAGATACCGCGTCCAGCTTGACTTGTGGACTCGTCGTAGTTGATGTCACAGCGTTGAGTTTTGCTAGAGAATCGGCATGTGCCTCATACACAAAGACTTGCGCCCTGTCGAACATGTAACGAACGACGTCGCCGGTGCGGTTGTTCCATTCGTCCGATTTGAATCCATACGTCGCAGTGTAGTTCTCGATAACAGTGAAGTTGGTGTTCCAGTTGTATGTTATGTTCCAGTATTTGCTCTTGAATCTACCGTTGACTGCAATCATGCTCTGATTGAGGTAGTCAATATAGCTAGCGGTGTCAGAGTAGCCATCCGCTGGTTTGGAATAATCGTTTGGCTTCAAGGACCATATCCATCTGAGAGCTTGGACGGCAGAGTTCCATACGATCAGCGACGTGTTACCTTCGACACATAAGAGAATTGCTGAGTGCAACGGATAATGTAAGAGAGCCCACACTTGTTGTCGTAGAGTTCCGAAGCGATCGTGAGAAAGCTGGTCGAAATACAGCATCCACAAAAGGTACTATGAGCTTGATTAGTAGCGTTCCCCGAATTACTCATATGTGGCGACATACCAAGAGAAGCACAGCTGCAATGACGGTTCCGATCTCACTCATGTTATTGCTCGTCTGACCTTTCGTAATGCATGCTACGCTCTTCACCATCCCGATGATCCCTTCTCCGATGATGATGAGGGTAAGCAGTTGTAACCGCTCCGTTAGATGGGTATACTTGAAACTGATGATCCGCCATATCATGGCGATGAGAAAGATGAGAAGACCTTCAACAATGGATATGATCACCCTGCGCACTTTGTTAGTCTGAGCAGCCGAATTGAAAGAAGTCTACTTGCCATGCGAGTTGCTCTTCAAGACCAACACGACCCCTAGGAAAGACAACCATAGTGATGGCATAGCCTATTGCTGCCGCGGCATGCACGCCAGCGCTCAGACCTAAAGGAATCAACGTCTGACGGAACATGCGACCCTGCCACATAACCACAGCGTATTGTACAGCGATCGCAATTCTACCGATGACGAGTACAATGGCAAAGTTCCGGTATGACTTCTCAACGCCACTGGTGCTGTACTTGTCGAAGACCGGACCGGCATACACAAAGCCAGTGAAGATGCCGAACTGTATGGCTTTGTGAAACCGATTCCACACACAGTCGATACTGAACCGCACGTCGAATAGTGTGACGCTCAGCCAAGTAAACCACATCAGAGTGAAAAGTTTGAGGTAGTTAATGAGTGCTAATAGAGTGTCAGTTACTGCATCAAGGTTTGGACAAACATGCGTACACTCTGCATCAGTGTGTTGATGCATAGCCGTGAAATATGCAAGGTTGGCAACGAAAAAGAGGTCGTAGAAAAGCTCTATCGTGCTAGCCTCTGTATGTTGCTTGTAAATTATGATGTTTCCGCGGCTTGTCCTGCCGTTTCCGGCAAGTGTGGTCGTATCATTCGAACTGTCGAACGTGCTGGTGTGAGTATTGGTCTTTTCTAGGTCTGTGGAATTGTTCGTCACTACTTCAAGGACATCCTCGTTGATGGGATTTGCGAGGAGGGGCAGGTAAGTCCGCCTGTTCCTATGTCCTGTATGCTCACTGCCGTGACTGTCGGTAGTCTTCCGCCGTAAACTGAAATAACGTGCGAGGTCCATTGTGAAACAAACGAAAGAGACGGAATGAACTTCGTTAGTGATGCGATTAAACTGATGGGAAAGCTAGATAAAAGGCAGCTATCCCATACAAGATATATATTAAACGCCAGCTATCAGCGAAGCTGCCCTAGAACAGTGCTGTATCTGCCAAGCACGCGTCGGTCCGTCGTCGACAGTGGATCGTAGTAGTCTTACCACTGTATGTGGTGAGCCTTCGCCCCCGAAACATCGTGAATTTGGCCATAAAATTGTTGTTAGGAAGCTTAAACAAATCATCTGTACCGAGCAATCGGTTAGACTTGTGCGCCCGGGGAACTGCCAGGGTAGTAACCACACATTTCCAGACACAACACCAGTGAGGCGTAGACGACGGAAACCGCGGCATGAACCAACGGGCAGGCCTGAATAGACGCATATGTATGTCAGAACAAGTGGTATAATCCGAAGGGTATTCTTAAATCTGCACGACATGAAGGTCGCTTGCTGTTGGTAGGAAAGTGTCGTATGCCGTGATCCGTGCAGATGTGCTGCATGGTCAGCGTTGAGCGGCACGACTTTGTGTATCTCGAATCTGTAAGGCGAACCACGTTGTGGGTGTGATCGGTGCAGGGGCAGTAAGTTGTGCCGATCTCCTAGGATGCTTGCCAACGATGGCCGAACCAGCATTGGCTGCCAAGCTTTCAGATAAGCTCAGCGGACAGTCTGCGGTCTCGCAAGATGCTGCGGTTCAGGCTGAGCACACCTTTGTATTCGCCAAACGCTATCTGAATTCCGATCGTGCTTACTCTTGCCAAGGAATGCGTATCTTGCTTGCTTGCAGCAGCACGCCAATACCTGCAGTTGGCCTGCGAGTTCTTGAAATGGAAATTTGTGCCAGCGCAAGTGCTGAAACGAACGAACAACGCTTGGCCAGAAGACTACATCCTTCCTGACAGAGATACATGTCTGTTTCCCCATGTGACTGCACGCGCTTACTCATGACGGGTGTTTCGGCGATTATGAACAAGCCGCATCTTGTAGAGGCCTGCATAGTTTCAGCACGTCTGAATCACTTGGTGGATTCACCCCAGCGCACATGTACACGCAGCCCCGATGGACTGCTAGAAGAGGGTTGCCACCGAGCTGGCTAAATTGAGACAAAGACAAATATAAGTTGATAGTCGAAACGAAGGCCGCGCTAGACATTGTCTGGTGCCTCTGATTGCTATCTTCTGGACGGCTCAACGTAGTCACTAGTGCCTTCCTCAAAGTCCTCGTCCGATGAGCTTTCGTCGTCATCTTCGTCGTCCTCAGCTGCCTGATAGTCGTCGTCGTCTAATTCATCATCCTCATCCGGATCAGGGTCAGCTGGGGGTGGACGCCTTGCCCGCAAAGTACGACCGGTCTGACTGGCTTCCACGTTGGCTTTGTTGACCTTCGCTCGCACGCGGCCCTGCCTGCCTCTGCCTTCGAAGTCAAGTTCCCATTCGAGCTCAAGTGCCTGTTGCCTGGTGCCAGCGTTATCGATGATCCAATTATATGGCTGCTTTAGAACGATCTCGGTGCGAATGACGAAGGTTCCCCAGCCCCGAGCTTTGAACTCATAAGGCGGCTTTCGGAGGATGACGTGGTTTCGCCGAAACGTATGGTGCTAGAAATTTGTCAGCGCTACAGTGATAGGTAAAGTGGTCGATGCGCAAGTGTCTCCAAGTCATGTGCCCGTTTGATCTTTCCCGAGATCCTGTCGAACTCCCCTTGGGCTTACTAGACGCTCTGTGCGGGGAGACCTTGGCATCGTGATATTGAATGCCGAGCCTTGTCTTGACTGGAACAGGACTCGGGAACGTACCAAATGGATGTGTACTTCCTTGATCAAGTCCGGTCTCGATGTACGCACAAAAAACGTCCAGTCGTGCTCATTGTCATCGCCGGGGTTCCTGATAGGCCTGTGCTTGTTGCCTATGAGGATCATGACACCCTCAAAGCCATCACGCCCGATGCGCGATCCCCTGTCCTCTTCCTCCTCTACCCGTCTCTCGGCATATGTGATGGGATACTTGTGTTCCAACTGCCTCGCCAGCGCGTTATCCGGGGCCGCAGTGGTGCGAGTCCTGCACATGGGACAGTTTGCTTCAAGGTCATACGTGGGATCATAATTTGGGTCGAAGTCTGCGAGGTTCACGTCCCAGCTTGAATGTTCGATGCGATTTGTATTGGAGGCGTCGGACCACTGTGCCATGCATGACGCACATAGCAGATGGTTGCACTGAGTTTTGACGGGCGTAAAGAGGAGTAGCTGGCAGATCTGTTATCTGTTAGCAGGGGCACGCGTGATTGCGTGATATGCTTACGGGGCAGAGGTCATCGTGTGCGACCTCTTCCGCGTTTGACCGTGTTCCTGTTTCGGCCATGGTGATACTGCAACAGAGAGAAGAGGGAAGAAGAAATCAAGTGATTGTGCCGGAGGCGCAGTCTTTAGCTGCCATCCCTTGATGCGATTGCGGCATGGCTCGCGCGATGTTGTTAGAAGATGCATTGCCGCCATTGGTTGTGACGTCCTCCAGGCATCAGTCCGCACGAGCCCAGGTGGGGCGGAGAGTGGTTCCACGTGATAGCGCGTCGGGACCTGCAGAGACATGCTCGCGCAGCGTGTGCTTCGAAGAAAACTTTCTGCATCAAATAGAATCACACAATGTTTCTCTACTCGGCTACCCTATAATGATGATACGCCGGTTCGAGCAGATCAAGATGAAGCGAGTCTTCCCTCTCACACTATCTTCCCTCTGATACCCTCTCCGTCTAACGAGATGAACTTGCCGAGCATGAACCCAACACCGACCCTTTCGTACACTCTCGAGTCCTCGCTAGTCAGGCCTTGAACGGGCGTGACAAGCAACACGTAATATCTTTTCTCCTTGCCACTTCGTCCCTCTTTACCCTTCGCTACGACAACACATTGCGCCCGCTGGCCATCAGATGCCGTCCGTCTCTCCGTGTCATAGACAATCTTGACTTCAAACTGTTGTCTGCCTGCCACGTCAAAATTACGGATAACGGCTGTGATGGCTACCTCACCATCAGGCCGTGTAATCCGGGTAGTAGATGGAGAACCGCAGGTCCAAGGCGGCTGTAGTTCGTCATATTCCCAGTTCGCAGAATGAAAAGGCGGATCTATGAAATCTATTCCGCCTTTGTAGGCCATCCAAGACCAGCTTGGAACTTTGACGTTGCGAGCAGGCGGGAAATTGATTGGTATTAGGTGCTCGGCATCTCCTTCTTCTTCGCCGCGTTGCCAAAGAAGACTGCGATGAAAGAGGCCGCCATCGTGCTTATCGCCATCATCGAAAATGCCATAATCGCCCTTCGTTCCAAAAGCTTTTTGTAGCCGTTTCTCTAGGCCAGCTATAGCGAACGGTCGATCGTCGTAATGAGTAAAATTGAGACGCGAGTACTGCTTGTAGAGACCCTGAAAGTAGGCTATTTTCCCTGCTCGGTTGGCGCGCATGGCTTTGGTTGGGAATTTAGGGTCGCCGAGGAAGTCAGCCATATTGCTGTAGCAGATAGTGTTAGCAATCTGGCACTTGGAGGGGGGGATTTTGAGCTATCACTTACTTCTGCATCTTGGTCATCGTCTCACACCTGATGCCATCTCCGCACTCAAAGTACATTTGGTTCTCAGTGAAGTATATGGTCCGCCGTGCGAGCGCACGTTCCTGGAGCACCCATCCACGCTTGTTTAGTGCGCCTTCAATTACATCTTTGTTGAAGTTGTCAATTGTTTTGCAGACATAAAACGGTTTCTCATTCCCACGTTGAAACATCACGTAGTCACGTCGCTTCCTCGGACGTAGGAAGCCATCGCGCTGGTTGGTTGCCCGACTTGCAGCGAGAACGCAGTAAGCATCACTGAAAACATTTTCCATCCTCTTTGCCTCTTCGTTGAAGTCGCTATTATCTCCTTGAATGATGGCTAACGAGTCGATCCACAGGTAGCGAATTCCCAGCTTTCGTGTGCAATGTACAGCATCTTGGAAGGTTTCAGGTAGCTCTTCATGAGGTATGCCAACCCTATGAGACGCGATGTTTGCTTGCGACGTGCAAAATGGTGGATACTTTACAGTGTCTCCCCATGGGTGTGAAAGTGCGATGTAGGCTTTGCTCGAGATGGGATCCTCACGGGTATCGATGAGGCGGAGGATGGGATGTTGTAGGGAACCGACGTCAATTAGGCGTGTTGGGACACTTCCTGGCTCACTGTGACAATCTTGATGTTTGACGTTCTGTGGATCATGTGCGTTGCAGTTCTCAAGCCATAGTCTCATAATCTCAAATGAAGTCTCGGTACCTGGTTGAGGTGGCTCAGGAAAGCCCAGCTGGATGGCGGTCGGTGGATTGGACTCTGTGGTTTGTCAGAAACTTTTTGAGAGGTCTCGAACATAAACTTCTCGAGAGGTTTCGAGCGCAGTCTACGCTGCTAAAACAGTGAGGTCTCAAGGACTCACCAAGGCTCCTGAAGATCGACAGCACGGGGAATGGCTCTCCAACAATCAGCAGAGCTGATTGCTTTCGTTCAAAACTAATGCCTTTTCTCTTAGTGCCGTCACTTTTGGCGCTGACATCAATGAGCATGTTGCAGAAGTCGCAGAAGCGCCTTCGATCTTCGAGTTCTGACATCGTATCTTCAAATGCGAAACCCCCAACCCAGAAATCTAAGTTCATGCAGCGATCGCAGAGCTTCTTGGCGGATGCATTATCTATTGCTGGCGAAAATTCCGCAGCGATCCGAGATAACAAAGCTACAGGCAACTTCTCGTCGACGTAGAATTCCCAGTCTCTGAGTGGGGGAAGCCGATAGTCAGACGTTCGTATAGGACGGCCCAGAACGCCGCTAAGCATAGGTACTTGCGTTGGCGTAAACTTTGGAAATACCGGTGCTTCATATCTGTTAGCAGCAGAAGCTGGAGTCAGCATAGTGGTTCTCTTAACGGGCAGCTTCACGCTCGTTCTTAGTTTCCCTGTGGATAAGTATCCTGGTTTGTGTTGTATCTTAGCCAGGATAGTGTCCAGGGATTCACGAAACTGCGCAGCCGTTGCACGATAACGTGTAAAGGTATCATCAACCCCTGGTTGCGCGAAAGACCCACCGCCGTTGATCGCACTTTCCCGAGTTGGTGGCAGAGGGACCACGAGTAGTTTCTCTTGGACCAAATGGAGAAGTTCGGCGATTGCTGTATCTCCAGAACATTCTGGGTCTGTCTCCTGCATTGCCTCGATCCACTTGCGAACGACTCTGTGAACCTCTGGACGAGTTGCTGTTCCCGGAGTCGGCAGTTCGAAATACTGGCAATGATCTTGAGCATCTCCTCTCAACTGACCATAGAAGTTGTTGAGCTCGTCATTTCCATACAGAAGCCATATTATGAACTCGAGGGTAATGCAGCCCATTGACCAGACATCGTAAAGACGCGTCCTTAGCCCATTGAGTTCTCCAAATGCTTCTGGCGCCTCGTACTGCACAGTACCATACCTCGTACTGGTAAGATGCGTCCGATCTTGAGTCACCACAATGTGTTGTTTCGCAAGACCCATATCAGCCAATTTTAAAGTACCTAGCGTCGTTCGGGGATCAATGAATCGAAGAATGTTTTCGGGCTTAAGATCACCATGCCTGATGGACTCAGTATAGATCGGATCAACATCATACGTTTCCTCGTCGTGTTCGTCGTCAAACTGCATCTCAGATATGCCATCTCTTTCATGTTGTGCAGTATTTGAGACACTTTCCACTGACTGACCACTATTGCAGTAATGTAAGCAATGCAGTGCGTCTGCAAGGCCTCTCAGTTGGCCGATGGCTTCATAGATCAGTTCAGCATCTGGTCCCGAACTTCGTCTCGAAGTCTGGACCCAGTAGTCGCGTAAGCTATCGCCATCCGCCCATGGAAACATAAAGTAGCGACTGTCCCCTCTTCTTATCGCAGCAACGCATTTGATGATATGTGGATGCTTCAGCTTGTTGATATTTGCCAAAGCTCTTGCTTCTTTATCCCATGCTTCCTCGGTGCGCTGCCTATCGTTGCCTCGTGTGATCTTGATCTCTTTGATGGCTACCTTTGTAGAGTAAGTATTGGTACTTGTTCGACGAACGTCGACTTACGTGTTGCATGCTGTATCGTCTTTGATGATCTGGATGAACTCGTACTTTATGCACATATCCGAAAGCTCCAACTTTAGGTGTGACATCTTCTTTGGTAAACGGGAAAATGCAATTATTTAACAGATTGTAGCTATATTGATCTGGTGAGAATACTGGTACAAGCAGATGCCACTGCTTGTTATAGAAGTCGTGGATCTTTTGGCTAGTCCAGACCTTTTTGTGGAAGACCTTTTGTGGTGGAGTCGATTGTAGAGGATCGGGAAGGGGCAAGTTCCTGTCATCGAACAAACCAGCTTTGAAGAGTGCCATGGAAAGCAACAGATAATGGGGGTCGGGTTCGCATTGAACGGCTATTGCAAATGTCTTTGAGGCCTTTTCGCAAATCCAGCGTGCGAGGACCTCCCGTGATGCACGGTTGAAGTTTTTCTGACCATCTCGAACTGGCATATCTTCTATTTTTCTCAGCTCTGCCTCAATCGACTCCTTGGTGACTAGTTCCATAAAACGAGTCTCCGGGAGGTAGTCCCTAGGTGGGTTATGGAAATTGCTGGGCACGAACGAGGCTATCAATCTGCTCGCTAACGAGTCGATAATCTCCAACCACTCCGGCTCTGGGACTCTGTAGATTTGCGGTGGCCCAAGGATTCCCAGACATGACTGATCTTCAACTGTGAACAATATTCTTCCTCTCAATCCCTGAGGTAGACGATTTTGTGAAGCTAGATAGTGGGCGGTCTGATGATCTACGCTGTCGAAGATCATAATCCAATCCGTTTTTATCTGCCAAGAGAGATAATAGATAAGCTCTGTACTTGTTTTGATGTTGAAATGAGTATGTGTCCGTTCTACTATGTTATCGTATGCTTGTTCGATGCTCTGCTGGGTTCTTGCGTTTACCCAAAAGATATAAGAATCAGCAGGGTCGAGAATTTCGTGGATGAAACATCTTGCAAGTAGTGAAATACCCGATTTTCTGGGGCCGACAAGGGCAACGCGAGATTGTACGTTGGTATTTGCCTTAACCGTGGGGTATAGCAGCATCTCTTCTATTCGTTCGAGTGTATCTTTGGTGGGTTGGCTGACGAGATTATCAGGCGAAGTTGGTACAAAATCATGTCGTACCAGGGTGTCGGTCCCTAATTCGGCTATGATATCAAGTCAGAAATGGTCGATTGTCTTCAAGCTAAGTTTAAGCGTTGGGGTTAACTCACGTCGATGTACAGACAAATCCAGTTGATGAGAACCAACGGAGTTCACCTCATCCGTCAAAATCTCCACGTCACCGTGATCACATGTAAATATATTGGTATCCATGTGCAAACAATCAGACTGATTCTGCTCACAATACAGATGATCCTGAGGTATACTGGTGATGGCGTCCAGAACGCCTTTTAGTCGACTTGCTCGAGATTTCCATAGTTCAATTTGTGTAGTATTGAGAGAATGAGGTTGTTGGACAAGATCTGGTGGTCGTCGTTCCTGATCTGGAGCAAGCAAAGGCCATGCTTGCTCCATCACGGTTTGTAACTGTGTGACGGTAACTTCAACCTCAAAATCACGAAGAGGTTGAACCGAATTACGATCAATGAGCGTGGTGTGGGATAATAGACCAGATGTTTGCGAAGTCAATCTTGTAGTCTTGCTGGTATCCCATGGCGTTTCAGGCAAAGAAAGAAGGCTAAACTCATGTAGATGTCCGAGGATATGATCATCGATCTTAAAGTCCATGGCTTCCGTGTCTGCCTCTAGCTCATGGCATAGAGGACATGACAAGGCCTGGAACATCTGCTGCCTATTCAGTTCAGCTAGAGCTGCTATATTCGTCGTCGCTAGCGTCTTCTGGTGCTCTTTCATGAAATGTATTTCCCAGTCTCTGGCAGACTCGAAGACTTGGGATTGATGTTTTGCAGGATCGTTGGATTTCGACCATGCTGGAGCACAGTAGTCACAAATCCAACGTGAGACAGAGTGACTGTCAAACATATGTGCCAATAGGGAATCTGCAGTTCGATACATCTCGTCCGGAATATCGCATGAATCGATAATACAGGTATACGGTATGATATCACGGACCAGGTGCGCCCTGTGAAGTCAGTCACTCACGTCAACCTCAAAGAGAAAGGATGAATAGGGTCTTACTTACTTCCACATGCCTTCGTTTTTGTCGTTCGTAATATTCGGGGGAAGCTGCTCGTGGCAGTATGGACAGAGCCTAAGTTCGTCGCTTTGAAACTTTGGAAATGGTGGGTATGCTTGCGAAGAACCTATTCGTGTCATTTTCGTGGCGGCAGACTTCGCTCCAGGTTTCAGGATGTGGTCGATATTCAGCGACGAGCCCGGCTCGGTGGCAGTTTTTGCAACATGAGAAACTTTAGAATGATTCGAAGCCTCTTGAGATGAGCGAGAAGCAACATCTTGTGGTATGTTTGGTTCAGAACTTGGCTCCATATCCGAGTCAGGGGTAAACACCGGTTCCTCCAGATTGACCATCGGTGTGGCCGGAACCTCTACTTTCGGGATGGGATGCACAGGCCTTTCAGCCTTGAAAGTATCAAATCTGTGGCGACGTAGCATATTAGCACGGACAAGCCGCTGCTGGACTGGATTTAGTCTTTCTGCATTTGAATAATGCGTCGCCATCTTGACGGCAGACATATTTCTAGAACTCTCTTGGCCCGTTATACCACCATGGCTTCGTAGTATTATGGTAGTGAGAAACGCGCGGAAAACCTGGTAGTCTCCATCATGGCAGCCATTATCAATATCCTCAAATCTGGTCCGATTGCCAGACTTCCTGATCGCAAGTGTTATTCTTATCAGCTGATCGAGTATTGTGTTGATATTAAAGATGTGTTCAAACAAGACAGAGTTCGGGTTGATGGACTCGGTTTCAGAACTCATGCCACTAGACTCCCTGGACATGACTTCCCATGAATCGGGACTTTGGCGACCTTCATATTGATCTTGATCGTTGGATTTGACTTCAGTTTTTGTCGTATTAGCGTCAGACAATGGAGCTGTTGTATCATCATTAGCACTTGGATATGAGTGAGGACGGTTTCGGAGTTGGGTCTCACCACTATTAACCTGCTGACAGTCTACGAGGATGCCACAGAGCCCTCGAAGCAGATCATAAATGTCATCTCGCACGCCTTTCCACTTCTCATTTCTCAGACGATACTTGAGCGAGGACTTGTCGGAATCCGAAGCCCGAATTCCATTGGACCAGAGATTGAAGTCCCCGTGCGCTGATCGAAACCAGGTCTGTCGACCCAGATCTGGCGTTGCCGCCATTTTTGCGAATTCTGATTGGCATTCTCTGACGATGAATGGTATTTCTTTGATGGGAGGCGCCTCCACGGCGACTTCATGCATGTTTATGAGTCCCGAGGTCCTGGCGATGCCAACACACGGTCGCGATGGACGGCCTGATGGAGAGCGATAACACAGGTGTGCACACTGTAGCTGATGGGTACCCAGGTACTGCTCCGAACTTCTGGGGAGCTCGCAACTCTTACGCCGTGTGTGGTACCCAGGTAGTCTTTGGAATCTTTAGCAACAACTTTATCCTCCAATACCATGAGTGATATACACCTGGACAGTATCGAGGCTCAGGGCTCATTGGGGACGTCTTGTGACATCCATGGATGCATAGCGGGGTAAAGATGCCACGTGCGAGATGACTTTGGGACACCCGAAACGTTCCCAACATCAAGTCTAACGACAGTACGTGTCAATCAACATCGTTCTTAAGAAGCACAAAGTGCATACGTCCCTTATCCACCAGACACCTACTTACTGGGGAGCGGAAGAATGGTTACATCCAGTCCTGCTAGCAGGGATCGCAGGACACCCCTCAGACAGTCCGTAGCTAGCCCAGGTCACGAACTGTCCATGGACAAGGACGCCCTTGTCGATTTTGCGATTGAAGCTGTCACAGAGCTTCAATATCAGTCCAACCAGCTTTTTCAACAGCCTAAGAGCGATGTGTTCTTCCTCACACTCAAGACGCATTTAACGCATGTACAAGGTCGCCTTGAAAAGCGCGCTTCTTGTCACATCAAAAGAGTGATCGCTCTCCTGGAAGCTCTTGAAAGACTTGCAAAGGTGAGCCTCACGATGAGAGCATCTATCTCTGTGTTATCCAGATATTGAGTCTGATGACCCAATTCTCTCTGAATAGTGGCCAGACCGTTTCGATGTCCCACCAGACGCATACAAGCGAACCTCATATCCTAGGCTCCATGTCCTTTTGACAGGGAAGGCAGCTAGTGCCCGTGGCTGCATCAGAAAACTGGCAGATCCAAACAACCGAAAAGCTGCCGAGGACCGGAAAAGGTTTCAGAAAACCTTTCGCTACTTTGCCAATGTTGAAAGGGTACAACGCGGTCCCAGCCAATCGGAGATCACGGCATCCTCGGCAGCACGAGATGGCAAAGTTGGTGCGACTGAACATCTACAAAAGCTGTACACAATACTGTGCAGAATTTGCCAGTGCCCCCTTTCTGTCGCCAATAGCAGGTTTAAGACAAATCTCGCGCTTGATTTGATTACTCAGACCAATGGGGCAGATGAGGACCTCACAATTGAGATGTTCATCCTACATCAGCACACAGTGGATCCACAAGAATATAATGTGTGGAAAGAGGTTTGCTTAAAGATTTTCCACGAGAGGTATGTTGTCCAAATCCCCTTGAGGTAGACTTTAGCTAACTCTTTGCGCATGACGGTCACAGAGGGAGGGTTTGCATTCTGGTTAAAAGGCAATCTGGAATAGCTTGTTGCTATGTTACTCCAGGAGACTGGCAGAGCTATACCATAGGCCTTCGTATGTACCAAGCAAGTGCCATTGCCATAATGCTATGCCCCCCTGTCGACCTGATGCGCCATAAGATCTTTCGACAAGGAACCAACATCAACTCCAAAAAGCACCCGTTTCGAACCAGAAGGACAAACTGTATCCGATTTCTGTGCTCTCATCCGCCGAACAAGTTTGGAACGTTTGCAACTGAGTGCATCCAGCAGTGGCTTGTACGACCATGGGAGAGAACTGCCGATCCTCGGAAAGAGGTTTGCGCTTCATTCACCCAGTGTTTCTCTGGCAGACATTCTCGGTTCCGTCGAACTTCAGGACCGCGATCGCAGGCTTCTACTATCTTATTTATTGTCCAAGGCGGTTTGGCAGTTCTACCACTCCGAGCTGGTGCCCGAACATTGGACCAAGCATGCGGTTCAGTTCATGAGACAAGAGAAAGATTTGTTGGACAACAGGCCGTTTCTCTCCGCTGAATTAGAAGCTCTCGTTTCTTCTAGAAGAATGGCCGACCTCGCAAGTCCGCCACGGAGCACACATAAATTTCCCAAAATCTTGGCTTTGGGGGTACTACTACTTGAGATCGAGCTAGGCCAAGGCATTGAGACTCATATTCCAGCAATACATAGAGACGCGAACGGCAAACCAAAAGATAACGCAATCCATCTGACAGCAGGCGAAATCATCAAATCAAGTGTGTGGGTAAGACGTCTCGAGAAACGCAAGACCCTCAAATTTGTTAGCGACGCTATCAACACATGTGTGGGCCCAGAGACTGCTCATCTCGGTACAGATCCTGCTCAAGTACAGGAAAAGCTCTATAGCTGTGTTGTAGCTAAGTTCTATAGCGTGTTGGAAATTATGTATGGTGATCCCAGAAAGATCGATCTTGAACCGATGCGACATGCGCCGTGTCCCCAGTCTGTTCCGGTAAGGATATTACCAGCGCAGCCTCCAACAATGCCACGTATACAAGGCACAACCGATGCATCTCCTACTGATGCGGCACTGCTGTCATCGAATTCAGCTGTAAGTTTGGGTCTCTTCCCTCGTTCGCAATGCTAACGCATTTGAAGTTGTTAGATAGCTCCTCATGGTTGGATAAATTCGATCATTGTATCAGGTCTCTGGAGAGATCTGCGCAAGGCGAAAATCAACGTAATATTATCAAGATCGCTATACTCGATACTGGGTGCAACACGGATGACGACTTTTTCTCCGATCTTGGCATGCATTACCTCAATGGCCTCCAAGGATCCGGCAGATGGTATGACTGTGTCGCTGGAAGTTATAAGCCGATAGACCAGGATCCAAAAAAACATGGAACCGCCTTGACGGCTCTGTTACTTCGACTGGTTCCAAAGGCACTAGTATACGTGATCAGAGTTGCGAAAGACGCAGAGCATCTTGCACAAGCAGATGAAAACATAGCGAAGGCAAGGATAATCCCAAGCAAGTCAAGTGACCCATTGCTGACAATGCCTGGGCAGGCAGTACGATATGCGCATAGCCAAGGTGTTGAAATCGTATCGATGTCTTTCGGCTTCGATCGTACACTTGAGCTATCTAAGAAAGCTATCGAACAGACCAGCAGTATGTTGTTCTTCGCCGCTGCTAACAATGATGGCCTCAACAGCCCTGAACTATTTCCAGCCAACCACGAGCTTGTCATTCCCGTTCGAGGTACAAGCTATAAAGGATCTTTCGAAGACTTGTTCAACCCAGTCACTCCTGGACACAAGCCAGGATGTCGTTACGGCACTTTAGCAACTGACGTACCTTGTGGTGGACCTGACGACAGCAGACTCATCAAGTCCGGTTGCTCTGTCGCAACTCCGATTGTCGCCGCCATTGCAGCCACCATTATCATGTTTGTGGATTGGGACAGTTCGCTTCAGGTTTATCGATCTAGCGTACGAACACGACTCGGAGTACAAAGTGTGTTTCGCGAGATGACTAAAGACCAGCTGGTTTCAGAGAGGCGGTACTTAGCGCCCTGGCAGCTTTGCGATAACACAAGTCTGCATGCACGTGAGAGAATTAAAAATGCACTTGCATGGTCATAAAAAGAGCATAAGGTTCTGCTATGAAGGTACAAAAGACGTGTAGTGAGAGGATCGAACCTTGGAAATCTAAAGCGGCGTTCAGACAGCGGATGTATTCCGTACGGTCCGGAGGGAGTTTTTGGTCACGTAAATGTCGCTATATTAAGGTTAAACAGCGCGCGAACACTGCGTTAGCTTATTAACACTGTATAGACACTCTGCTAACATCACTACAACACTATGTTAGGTGCAATATAGCGACATCTACGTGACTAAAGCCCCCCTCCGCGCGCTATGGTTCCGTTCCTTTAAAACAAACCTAGAAGCTGGGAGCTGAAGATACCCCGCGACAAGAATAGCGCTGAGCTCGCTTGTGGGTGACGCGGCTTGCATATTACAGCTTCATAATCTTTAGTCGCGCCGGTGAGCTTGCAGCTAGCGAGGACGTGGCTGCATCCCATACTATAAGACTGAACTCAGCCGAGAGCGATGTGGAATTTGGAATATATACGGATCCTCTCTCTCGAACGATAGCCATGAGCAACGTTCAAAACCCCACGTACTTTCTAGCCCCCAACTGGAGCTTCCGCCCAGGTGGGAAAATCGCGATTGGTAACATCATCAAAAACCCGCTAAAACCGCACATGGTTCTCACAAGGCCGGAATCGACAAAGCCGCCTATTGCAACTGATACGATAACCGAAAGGAACTGGCGTCTATCTGTCGAGACCGCTACAAGCTTGAGCCTTAACCTCTGGGGCACTTTTCTCCAGATCTTCCGCTTAGGACTCTCCACCAATCATGAGCGTACCAAGAATTCGAACTTTACGATGACGTCTCTTGACACAATAACCATGTCGGAAGATCTTCCGATAGACGAACTCAAGGCTCGCTGCAATGACCAACCAGTAAAAAAGTACATGCGTCTGGATAGCGTATATTGCAATCCGGTCTACATGATCACCGGTATCAAGGTTGCTAAAGACTTCAAACTAGAAGGCGAAAAGAGTTCCACAAACGCTATTGAAGGGGAGGCAGGTGGCCAGGTTAGCCCAGACGTGAGTCTGGGTGGCGGGGCGGGCATTTCCAAGACAACGCGGGTGATGGATGGGTTCGAGGCGGAGGGTGATGTGATATTTGCGTACCAGTTGATAAAGATAAAGCCGAAGGGATGGAGCAAGGACAAAGACTTTCAGACAAGCGAATATGAGCATCGCCAGGCTTTCCTCGAAGGTGGAAAGAGTAACGCAGATCAGGTCGCGGATGAAGTTGAAGGCGAGATTGAAGCTGTTGAGCGCAACGACTTTGAATGTCTTTTCGATGCGCAAGTTGTTGACATTGGCGGAGTCATGGTAGGATACGAGGGTCCGAAGGTTGCAGAATGATACTGGCCGACCTGAGATGGCGTTGCGTTAGGTGCAACATTGGTCGATAATACTCAACCAATTTATTGCTTTTGTTTGCATGGTTACATTAGTAGCAAATGGCGATGAATCGCTCGCTGTTTGTCGGAATCCGCGCACAGAGCTCTTCTGTGAATCACCCACAGTGTTCCTCTTCTTCATAGTTATGATTATCAGAAACCGGATTTAACACTCCACCATCGCTCTTATAGTGGAACACGGCGTACTGTTGCGTGTTGGTGCATCGATGGCCGCATCGGCCGATGGAGAACTTTGAGCCATGCAAGATCGAGCGGATCGTCCTGCACAGTAAATTCCCGCGAACGAGTTTGGCGTCTGGAATTACGAGCTGCGACTGCGACCATCATCCAGGATGAAAAGAATATAGATGCTGTTTGTGGCTGCATTTATTGTATTCTGTATGCCCTTGAGCCCGATGGTATATGTGTTTCCACGGCGTCATAACGCATCAATTCACTGTCCTCACGTTACTTAGCGGTCAACCACGTTGGATCGTATAATGATCAGCAGCGCTACCTAAATATAATCTCCGTTGCCTTCCATCTGAGCTGATATCGGACGAACACGGGGAAGGGCAGATGATGGCTGAGGCGCATGCATGCACCGCCCACTTTATACGGGAAGCCAGCTCAAGGAACCCGCCATCCTGAGATCTGCCGAGCGCTTCGGGTATCGGACTTCCAACGGCGACGCATGAAGACGATTCCAAGGCCTTGAAATCTCGCGTGCAGATCCATGGCAAACGATGCGCAAACAGGGCGAAACTGGTGGATGGTTTTAAAACTCGCACCAGTGCAAGCGCCGATCTCCCGCGCCAGTGTCTCACATAGCAACGTCGCGGCGCGTCGCCATTGGCCCACGCTCAATTACGCGGATGTGGCTATGCCGGTTTCAAGGCGCGAAGCTTGATACATCAGTCCCCTATCCACCTTCAGCTGCGCGCCACCAACACCACGCACCGCCAACCTACTTTTGCCCAGCGTTCCTTCTCACAACTTGCGTCCCTTACGTCGTTGAGCGATTGCGATAACGGATCCTCACGACTTTCACGTTCGTTTTGTGCATTGACCCCGGGAGCGCAGTCACCCCCGAACCTGGTTTCTTAACACGGCAAATCCTCCGCGGGAGCAGGGCAGTACACTCGTAGGATCCGCCATGTGGTTCCGCAAACGCGAAAACGACATCGAAATGTCGGGTATGATGGATGGCGCGCCTAAGAAAAAGAAGCCTCAAGGTCCCCCGGAAGAAACAGAATACCAGAAATTCGATTGGAAAAGATTCTTCCTCGCCCCCAAGTACATCCGTAAGAGCGCAAGCCGCCCCTATGACAACAGAGCTTTCATGTCTGACTCAGCATCCAGCATGGCACATACTGTTCATCGTCATTGGCATCTTGACTGTCATCATCACGATCAAACATGACGCCGTTGTTGAGGTAAGTTTACGCTGTCTTGCTTTGGTGTCGACGAACACGTGGCTAACGGTGTCTGTGCAGAAATTACGGCCGTGGTCCGAGAAAGTGCGAGACTTGCCAGCAGGATGGCTGATTCCTATTGCTATCCTGATTGTCATTTCTTTCCCTCCTTTGTTCGGTCATGAGATTATCGCGCTGTTGTGTGGTGTTGTCTATGGCCTATGGATTGGATTCGCGATTGTTGCAGCAGGCACATTCATCGGCGAAGGCAAGCCTCACCAAATCCACAATTCCGTATGCATTCATACTAACATCCACCTCAGTTGGCACATGGTACGCCTTCAAATACTCCTTCCGCTCCAAGGCTCTGAAATTGGAGCGCACGAACTTGAATTATGGCGCTATGGCACGTCTAACACGTGACGGCGGTTTCTTCATCGTGCTTGTCATTCGTCTCTCCGCCATCCCAGCGCATTTCTCCACCGCTGTTTTCTCAACCTGCGACGTCAAGTTCTGGCATTTCGTCGTCGCTACTTTCCTCTCTCTGCCCAAACAGATCTTCCTCGTTTACCTAGGTGTGTTGCTCCTACAAGAGAGCAACGACGACGTGATCAAGACGGTCATGTTCGGCGCTATTTTTATCATCACTATTGCCATGGGTGTCTGGATTTACATGAAGATGCGCACAGTGAAGAGCACACTTTTGGAGGAGCAAGAGTTACGAAGGGTAAAGAAGGCGGAGGCTGTGGAGCTGGTGCCGAATGTCGAACGGGCGTTTGATACGCGGTACGATGAGGGGCCTGTGGCATGGTCCACTATGCAACCAACTCAGGTCAGCAGGCCGATGGAGAGAAGATACGATGAGGAGCCTCCGGAGTGGGCTATGGCACCTACGCAGCCGACCAGGATGGTTTGAGTGTAGGTTTTGGTTTGGTGTTATTTAGACTACTATATTCTTAATGGCATAATGATGTTATGACCCGCATGGGACTGGTACCCACATGATACTCCAGGTCAGGCTTGAGCTAGCAGCCGCCTGAAGTATAAATAGCACCTCCGATAACTAACCCCACTCTAAGTAGTGTATCGAAACCACGGCACATTATCGGCAAGCTCTCGCTCCAGCAACTTCTGCTCTTCGGTCAACTCCTGAGTCCCGCCTTCGAGCGCAATCTTGTCGCGTCTCGCGTTCTCCAATCGACACCATGTTGACATGAAAAATGTCAGGAAAAAAGCCATACTACAATGCGTCAGCACACCAACTTTAGATCGATCCAGTCGTGTCGATGACTTACCTGACAAATCCGATCAGAATACTGTGTCCAATAATAAACCTTGGTCCATCACGCGACAGGTAGACATAACTCGCTATGATACCTCCACAGTTACCTCCCATTACCTGCATGGCAATGCCTGTCCCACGCTTCAAACTACCTCCAATATTTCCGCTGTTCCACGCCATACCCAGTGGAATCTGGGGATAGATCCCAATAGCCGCAAGCACCGTTCCGGCATATTGGACACTGGGCTTGCCAGTTGCGGCAAGCATGGCGAATCCTGCGATAGCCACAAGTTGGAACCCCATTAAGAAGATGCCACGTTTCTTCACGCGATCAGCGTACCAGCTCGCGACAATGGTGAAGAAACATGCGCAGACATAAGGTGGGACGGACATGAGCTGTGCGTCGTTGGCAGTATAACCCATGTTTTTGATGATCGTGGGGAGGAAGAGGGCGAAGGAATAGATGGGACAAAATCCCGCCATGCATATAAGCATGAAGATGTAAATTTTCCAGTCGGTAATGGCCTGGTAGACATACTTCATATCGAAGTCATTGGAAAGATGACCGTGGTCTTGTTGCAGGCGGCGTTCGACCTCTGTGCGCTCTTTCGGAGTGAGGAAGCGGGCCGTTGCCGGGTAGTCGTATATGCACCAGTATGCTGTCATTGACACGAGAATGCTGAGCAGGCCCTCCAAGATGAATATCCAAGCCCAAGCCGCTTTGCCTCCAACGCCAGACATTTCTGCGATACCGCGGGCTAGCACTCCACCGAAGGCTCCGGCGAGCGTTGCGGCTGAGAAGAAGAGAGCCATGCGAAAGCCACACTCGCCTCGGACATACCACTGCGAAATATAGTAGTTCACGCCTGGAAACAGCCCACCCTCAAATACTCCCAGAAAGACTCGGGTAGCCATCAATCCGGAATAATTCTTCACAAAGCCCTGACAGATCATTGCCAGTGACCAGAAGAACATGATGAACGTCAACCAAATCGACGGTCGTGTACGCTTCATCATGATATTCGACGGTATCTCAGCAGCAATATAGAACGGGAATAGAACAGCGAGACAGTCATTGTACTGTAGGCCGTGCAGCTTCAAATCCTGTTCGAGATGGTCGAGTCGAGCGTTGCCAATGTTGGTGCGGTCTAGGAAGCACAGACTGCAACTCTGTCAGTGATGGATCTTCAGTAGATGATGGAATGGGAAACTGACAGGTAGATGAGCGACATGAACGGTATGAGATGCCAGTCGAGTTTACGAAGAAGCTTCTTCGTAGCGACAACATCATAACCCTGCGGCTCGACATCTTCAATCGAGACGTCGGATGAGATGGGAGCGACAGTAGTTTGATCGACAGTTTTCTCTGCCATTGTAGATTGTAGACCGATGCGCTGAACCGGAGGGGATAAATGCTTTACACGATCATCTTTTATATACGTGTACTTCCCGCATTCCATGCTGACAACTACTTCGCAGAAGTAGTGAAAGAGCCTTCTACCATATCTGTGCAGTCCCGAGGTTCCAGACTGCCACGCTCAGCCATCGGTGCATCGGGGCTGTCTTACAAAAGTCATGCATCTTTCTTCTTTCGTGCCCATGTTCCGAGACCGATAGCATGGTGTAACACTAGCAGAGATTCCAGTGGTTGCAGAGCATGCATTAGCTGGTGAGATAAAGGTAGTCAGGACTTGGCTACAGCAGCCAAGGGCCGTGCCGTAGACTTGTCCTCCGGAGGCTTGTGAGTGGTAGAGGAGGACGAAGCTTGAATGGCTATGTGGGGAAGCTTATGTATGCGGGCTGACATGCATGCAGAACCTTGGCGCTGATAATCAAAACGAGTTGCCTAGTTGTAGTATTCCAAGGCGTTATCTGAGGCGACGCAAACTTAATCTCCAGCGGTAGATTGATAGCCTCACGATGTGGCGTTGCTTGTCTAAGGCTTGCGATATCTGAAGGCTGTTTTCCCGTCCTTCCACTGGTTGAATGAATCTGTAGACACGGCGATCAAGCCTTGTCCAGAACATCAGGCTGCAAGTCTAGCTTGTGGTGCTGGGGTTGTCAAGTATTTTCTTTTTCGCTTTCGCGTAGCGCCATTCCACACCTGCTCAGCCTCGCGAGGCACTCAATACAATGCGGAGATGAGACCTTCTTCTCCCACAATCGTGGGCAAATCGCGGAGTCTTTTGGATCGTCTAGAAACTGCTTTTCTCCCTCACTAGGTAGAAACAGGTGGAAACGGCAAGGCAGAAGCAATGTCTCCGATAGTGGTGGATGGCATTGATAAGCATAATGAAAGAGGATGCACATGATGCACAGTTGAACACTTCTCAGGTAGTCGGGGATGGTCTTTTAATACTCGATGGAGACAATGGACCCTGAAGTGAGGGTGAGATCTGTGCGATGATGACACAGGAATGTTTTGGCGGAAACCGATCGCTTCAAGCATGGTGATTGCCATGACCTCTCAAGCATTCAGCTTTCATGTACCTTTGTTGCGACTGGAATGTGATCTCCTCAAGATCTTCAAGCACTCATGCGCATTGCCTCAGAAGGGTCTCGATGTTTGCCTTCCTCGTTCATTCATCAAAGCTAACGCAGCCCTGGAATACAAGGGTACCGAAATCTGGAAATACCAGGCGTCTAATTGGCCACGGAGTAAAATGCCATTCACGTTCCAGTAGAGCCGAGTGCAATCGATAGTTTCGAACAATCGCACGTCGTACGTTGTGCAAACACTACGCATCTTCACCCTAATAGTGTGCGTTTGCTGCTGAGAACGTTGGCAAACCTTCAGGAAAAAGCGCTCCGTTCATGAAATATCAGGAGCACACTCGTGGAACAATGCTCGTAATCAGCAGGCATGCCCTATAATTCCTTTCCTGTATGAGCAAATAAAATCGATTTCTAGTTTTGTTGACTGGTACAGTGGGCGAAAATCCAGGATTTTAGTGGATGATGATGTATTGAAGAGATGTCTGCGACTAGTGCGTCAAGTCTGTAGCGTAGCGACTGCCTATGGCATTTGCGATGGCCATACAAGCGCTTCGTGGTACAATTCGTTCGCTTTTAATTTGGGACCATACCATACACCTTGATGATGCTGGGAGATGACAAAGATCTCAAGCAGTGGAAGAGCAAGGCTCGCAATCAGTAGCTAATACCTCGGCCGTCGTCGACGCACTGTGTAATAATCTTCAAAATCGCTCTCGTCTTCCTCTCCTTCTTCATAATCTTCATCATCCTCGTCATCGTACTCCTCGTAGCGATCGTTATAATTATGCATCCAGTCTGGCCTAGGTCGAGCTTCGTATGGTGACCGCCCAAGCTGTCTAATGCCTACACTCCTCCGTCTCGGGTGGTTATATATTGTGGAGGAGCCGTAATCGCTCTCATCATCCTCATCGTCGCTAAAGAAGCTTGTCGGGGAGGGAACACGACGGCCTTGAGGCCATGATGGCTGGTCGTTCTGTCGATGGCGGCTGGTAAATATTGGGTGTGATTGGGGTGATTGGCCGAGGCCGAATGGCGAAGACTGACCATAGCCCATCCGCAAGTCTCCTAAGAAAGGAGGCTGACTTGAAAACCCTGTGCTTCTGCGTCTGCCCCCACTCACTCTTGTGCCCAGTCTCATGCCTGACCCCACACCAAAGCCCATTCTAAAGCCCATAACACCCGTGCCGCCTAACCTACTACCACCCATGTTCACACCCAGAGGTGATGGGACACCGAACTGCGGGTGGCTTCCCATCATGGGATTCGGCCTGACATGATCCAAAAAGGGTGGTTGAGACCTTCCTATGCCCCCAGGCGACGAATGATGGTTATGCAGCCTGTACATGTATGCTTGTCTTTGGAGTTCGATAAACATTCTCCTTTGATCCCTAGTGTCTCGTGCAAAACCGTCGCTATCGCCACCATAGGATTCGTCGTAGCATCGGTTCGGACGGAAACCGCAAGTGGGGAAGCTCATCAAACGCGCCATCGCAAACTCAGGCCCCGTTGGTCACAAAGTAGGAAGACAATCTTGGGCGATGAATAGAATTGTTGTGGGCAACCGAGGTATAGTAATATGGTGTAAATTATTTGGTGCCCTTTGTGTTACAGAGAGGGCAGAAGAAACTCCAAGACATGGAGGTGCTGCGTGGTCGACTTTGTACCAAAGCGAACATGCCGCTAGATGGGGGAAAGTGACCAAGATGTTTACGGGTTGATGATGTACGAATGGTTGGACGCACCTAAGTCGATGCAGTTACCGGAGGCGTAGGCGTAGGCGGGGCCAGCATGATAGCCATCGCTGGCAAGGCGATTCTCCGGCCGTAGTAGGCCTGTACGACACAAGGCAAGCAGTAATTGGCATCATGGTATCACTGTGATACACTAATGAGATGAAGCAAACACTTCGTTTTGGAGGAAAGGGCAAACCACACTACCGCAGCCATGTACTCCTACTGGATAGAATCTACCAGCAGAACGAGGTGGATGAAAGCATGTGCAGGGTTCATATACGGATGAACAGACTAGTAGGAAGATGCTGATAGGATAAGGATACCGACCAAAGGGTCCAGGGCAACCATGATACCAGACAAACCTTGACAGAACGGCAGCAGATACTGAGAGCATAAGTCGTTAAGGCTCGTTATATGGGTCGAGCTGGGCTGTGCTCGAAGTAAAGCTGCGACGGGTGCTCGGCGATGCGACACAGCGTAGATGACACATCGCACCTTCCCCTTCTTCACAAGGGGTCACGGGTCGAGTCGTGCCTTCCGGGTGGTACAGTGGAGAGACTTGGAGATTTGAGGATGAACGACGGCATTCTGGGAGTGGCTGCGAGGAGGCGATAGCAGAACAAGACGTCATTACTTAATTTGCACCTGAAATCGGCAGGCGCGACGCGTTGACGCAGGACGCGTCGTTTCCAATTGGTGTGGCGGGACGTTGAAGAAAAAGTCCCCATAATACGATCAAGTCACGTGCATCCATCTCGGCTCCAGCCAACCTCAAATGTTCGGCCATGGTTGAAGCTCTTCTTCTGTCGCCGCAATACGACTACATCTCCCACCGAAGTGTCCCACGACGAACTGTGCCATCATCTCCCCGATCTGCCTAGCACGAAATCGCTGCAAGCCTGACATCATCTCGACTGCACCTGCCTCCACCACTCGCCTGCCACAATCCCCACACTAAATCTTTCGGCCTCGACACCACGCTTTCGTCTCGTAGCCACTTCCGCATCCGCATCTACACCACCACACAATGGCTCCTACTTCTTTTGCTTCGGCAGCTGCAGGAAACAATGCCAATCCAGCGCGTCCAGACTCCGGCGCTGACTGGTAAGTCTTGCCTTGCCTGCGCCCCATGTACACACCACTATCGAGCTACATGCGGCACATTGTTATCCCTTGTCGCTAGACACAGCACTTGATTTTATTGTCCTATTTATCACAACGCTCGCTACCGACATGATTCTCTTTCTGCCCGACGCTTACCCGGAAAACAGGGCTCGACGTACCAACGGTGCCACGCAAACATTCCGCCGACCCTCACACGCGACCAGCCTCTCCGGCTCGACAAACCACTCATCTACACGAGACCCTGCCGCGCCACAGAACCCGTCGACGAACTCGGGCGTATATGTCCCTCCCCACGCACAGCCTGGTCGCAATGGCAGCTCATTCGAGGGCCGCTACTCGCGGGACCAACTGACGCAGCTGTTCCGGATACAACAAGCGTCAAGCGACCTCAACGACGGACTGTCCGATTTGTACATGGGAGGATGGGAGCCCCACGCTACAAATGGTGCTTCGAGCGCTTCTTGGGGTCGCAAGGACGATCATGGCAGAGAGAGGGAGGCGCCGAGCGGGGTCGACCAGTGCTGGGATAGAGACGGTAGCATATTGCCACTCAGCCTGGCCGGCATGACTGACGAGGAGAAAGAGGTAGAAACTCACACCCCACCACACCTTCCTAACATACACTAACGCGCGCTTCTTCGCTTAGGTCTTCCACTCGTCTGTCAATTCGCCGCTGAAACCACCCACGCAGAACAAGGACGGCACTCCCAAAGAAGGCCTTTCGCTACGCAAGACATCCGTATCGCAGGGTCCAGGCACACCATATGGTCTTTCCTCGCCCACAACCGCGCGTCCAGGTGCCCGCCGTCGCGACACCAGCGAAGCGTATCCGTTCCCCTCGTCCCCCGCCACCTCACGATTCGCGCGCGAAGAAGGCAGCGCTGTCACTCCGCCACCCGCTCTAGTACGCCGTCGGACAGATTACAAGGAGCCTGTAGAGGGTCGCACTGCGGAGGAGCGCGAAAAAGACAAGGGTACGGTTGAAAGTGCTGGTGGCTTTGGCTCTGCAAAGCGCGCAACCACAGCACCTTTCAGCCCAGGTGGTAGTGCTTCGCCGTGGTCCGCGACTCCTGGTGGTGGTTTTGGCGCTTTCGGAAGCTTTGCAGCGCCGCAGTCAGAAAAGAAACCTGGCTACGGAAGTTTACGTGGCGAGAGTCGATTCAAAGGGTTGATGGGCAAGCCGAGCATTGAAGACTTTGGGAACGGGCCGAAAGAGAAAGCTTCAATGAGTAACTTGGGCAGGCTAAGCGAGGCAGAGCCCTCAAAGACAGGCAGTTCGTGGATGGAAACTCGCACCAACAGACCAATGAGTAACGATACAGATCCGTTCCCCGAAGACGACCATCCGACTGGCAGTGCTGCGTTGCGCGGCGAAGACGTTAGCCCGCCCCGGCCACAAGGCTTCGGCAATTTCGCAACGCCCCACCGCCCCGACCACCGCGACGATTCTGGATTATCCGCATTTGGGATGACTACTGCCGACACTGGACTTCGCGACATGTATAACAGGAACAACTTTACGGATCAGTCGCCCCATCGGGGTAACGAGCCAATGAGCCCGACGGACACGAATCCGTACCAAAGCCCACACCACGCACGAGACCAGCATAATGACGATTCGGACGATTCCGGCGACCAGAATGCACACTTCCCTGGCATGAGCAGCTTCCATATCGACCAGTCTGTTCACTCGAGCATCCATAACGCGTTCGGTGGGCTTGGGGGTCTCGGAAAGGTGTCTGCACCATTCGAAACTGCAGCAAGTGACCGCAGCCAGACTTCTAGCGTTGGACCAGCCCGAGGATTCCCTACCCTACCTGGGCTTGGCGGCCTTCCTGGTCTAGGAGGTTCCGCAGCGTGGCCTTCTGGAAACCACACCATGGGCACTCCGACTCGTGAACGCGGTGGTCTGGGGGGCTTTGACCATGCCTTCGGAAACGTTGGCGAGGCTCAATCGCCTTCTCTGGCCGGCCTAGGCAATAGTTCGCTATTTGGACATGGTACTGTAGGCCGCTCTAGCAGGCTTGGCTCTCTGTTCCCGCCCTCCATGCAAGAACAAATGCGATCCAATGATCCGAACAGGGTGCATGCCGACGACAACTCCTCACACGGTGACCGGCAACACAGCATGACCGGCTCGTTTGCAAGGAATGCCCTTGGGGGGCAGGCGCCAGCCCGTGATACAGAAAGCCCGTTCCGCGCAAACCGTAATCTTTTTGAAGACTTCTCCAATGCTCACCATGACGACCACGGTTCGGCGGGACAGTCTCAGAACATGGCTACCACTTCACTCTCAATGGCTGCTCTTAACCCGACAAGGACTGCACAGCCATCCACGCCAGGTGTTGGAAGTCCAGCCTCCAGTCAGCCTCCGGTGCCTCAGCAGCGAATGATGGTTATGCCTGACAGGATGAGATGGATCTACCGTGACCCCTCAGGTAATGTTCAAGGACCTTTCTCTGGTCTGGAGATGCACGATTGGTACAAAGCTGGCTTCTTCTCGCCTGAGCTGCTGGTGAAGAAGGCTGAAGAGCCTGATTACGAACCCCTCGCCCAGCTTATCCGCCGTATTGGTAACTCTCGTGAGCCCTTTTTGGTCCCTCAGATCGGCATCCCGCATGGCCCTGCGACGTCTCAGCCAGGTAATTCCTGGGCAGGTGCTGGTCCTAGCACTGCCACTGCTCCAGGTGCTCAACCCCCATTCGCCAACAGCTTTCCCAGCTTTGGAACTACCCTTACTGCCGAACAACAGAATGCTCTCGAGCGTAGAAAGCAAGAGGAGCAATACCTCATGGCTCGCCAGAAAGAGCACTTAGCTCAGCAGCAACAAGCGCTCGCCCGCCAAGTCCAAATGGGAGTGCTGCCAAACCAGCTCAACCACCACTCCAGCGCGCACAGTCTGCACAGTCAACCAAGTTTCGGCAGTATCACATCGCCAGGCGGATATCAGCCATCGCCTACTCAAGGTGCCGCGGCCGGAGCGTCTGTTCCGGGACTCATGGACAACACCTTCAGAGTTGGTCCCGGTCCTGTTCCAGGCTTGGGTCCGATTGGTCCCGGCATGGATATGCTGAGCAACAGGAGAGACCAGGAGATGCCTGCTATGATGGACCGTCTGAATCTGGGACGTAACAACCAGCCTCCATTCGCTTTTGGACAACAGCAAGATTCCGATGCTCACGCACAATACATGGCCTCCGTGATTGGCGACCGCGCTCGTCTCAAGCGCGAGCAGGCTGAGCATGACGCCACGGTTCGCCCTGGTGGCCCTGAAGACATGCAAAACGCGCGGAACTTCGCTGAGCGTTTTGCGGAATTCCAAGACTTGCGAGTCCAGACAGACATGGAGCAATCGTCCAATGCCGCCCCTCCACCAGAAGGCGTCATAGGAAAGCCG